GATCGATATCAATCACAATTAAACCGTCTGAATGAAGCATTGTTGGAAAAAAGGCCAGCAGTAGCCAGCAATCGACGTAAAGTCATGCTTTTGCACGACAACGCTCGACCACACGTTGCCAAAGCCGTCAAAGAAACACTGATGCAGCTCGAGTGGGAAGTTCTCCCGCACCCAGCGTATTCAGACTTAGCTCCTTCGGACTATTACTTGTTCCGGTCGATGCAGCACGGCTTGGTGGATACACACTTCAGAAATTACGAGGATGTGCGAAAATGGATCGACGAATGGATTGCATCAAAAGATCAATCGTTCTATCGTCGCGGAATCTACGCGTTGCCCGAAAGATGGGAAAAATGTATAGCTAGCGAGGGAAAGTACTTCGATTAATGTATTTTTTGCTTTTAATGTCGAAATAAATGAGTTTTTTAAACAAAAAACCGCAGGAACCAAGTTTACTACCTAATAAGTGTTTGTACAAATATCTCAGAGGTTTCTCAAGTCTAACAAGATTTAAATGGTAAGAAACTGAATCATTGTTATTTGTGTTATGTCTTATAAAGTCTGTCTACAGATTTTCCTCCATTTATAGTTATATTTTTTTTACTTCTGGTTATTGTTAAATTTCAAAATCTATTATTGGAATTGCTCGATTTCTTTAAGATGTTTTTAAAAATGTATAATATATAATTACTATTCACGCAGAAAATTTTCAACACTAACATATTGAAGTACAAAATATTTCTTTGTTTGCAGCTAATTCTTTGGATAATATCGATTTGTATGATAAGGACTTAATTCTCGATTCTATTTCCGACGACTGTTTACTTGAGAATAACTCTTCAGAACATAATGCAATAATTAGAATTGAAGATAACATTGATGTTACTCAGAATCTCGCTAACTGTGATTTAAGAAAGGCTCCAAAAAATATATCTTTTAGTACGATAAAAAATACTCAATCTCCATCATTAAGGCCAGCAAAACAATCTTCACCAAAAATTAATGTGCTAACTTCGAGAAAATGTAAGGTTAAATTACTATGTAGATTATAATATTTTCCAAATTATTTTTTGAAGCGTTTTTTTTTTTTTATATTTATATTTATAACTTGTAAAGCGTATTTAATTATAGCTTTTTACAGTTACAACTATGCATAAAATTTGTGTTGTTTTTTATAAAAAGTATGTTTCTCATCTTATTAATTATTTCATCTTATCAATTATTATAGTTAATCGAGTTACATCGTCTGGATCATTGAAGAAGCACTTCCAATTCATTGCTCAGAAACAGGCCGATGCTGAATTTGTAAGTATTTGCAAAATCTTCAATTAGCGTCGAATGTGATTTTTTTTTTAAAACAAATGTAGATAATTTGTGAATTTTATTCAAATTTGCAGATATATGCTGAGTCTGCCAAAATTCAAGCAGAGGCATCTAAAATGAACGCACTCGCAATAACTGAAATTGCACATGCAATAACAAAGTTAGCAGATACTGCTGCTGTACAAGCCATTAATGACAATGAACGAATACAAGTATTTAACAAACTTACAACAGTCTTAGAAAATCTGGCACCTACTTATCTTAACGAATAATTTCAATATTATGTGATCTCTCAGTTATAGTTTATTTTGTCATATATACTTCAAAAATTTTTTTTAAAACAAACAGTTCCTGGAGAATTCAAGACTGCAAGAACTTTTCTGCTAAATTTGATTCGTCGTAACGTACATTGCAATTTTTTAAGTATAATCTAATCTATAAGTACCTACAATTATTATTATTTGTATTCAATAATTTGTGTTATTTGAATATGAGTACATTAACGATAAACAATATTGCAATATTAAGTTAAATTTTAGGATAAACCGAGTTGTATTTTGTACTTTTATGAAGTTTTATTATGTATACGTTACAATACGTACAAACGCAAAGTTGTGATATTACTATAAGGATATATTACCAAAGAAATATATAATAATATATAGTAACGTATATATTTTAAAGCAGATTTGTTTCTTTTCCAATTATTTTAGTATTTATATTCAATGTGTAGGTATTGTTGATTGTATACAAATGCTACTTTTTAACTGAATAAAATTATTTGCAATTATGTCTGCTTTTCATTACACTAAAATAAATTAAAATGAACTCAATTATAATATAAAAATTTTTTATATTTTCTCATTTTATTTATATTTGATTTACAATTGAAAGATCGACTCACATAATTTGCCATATTAAAATTGGTTAAACATTTTCGATATAACCGAGTAACATAAGTTTAAGATTTAGTCTTTTTTTATCTTAAATTTACATTATATTTTATTTATACATTATTTATACATTATACAAGTTTATCTGCCAAATCTTTCTGCTATCAAACGGTCTTGGATGCGACGTGCGATAGCGAGAGATCCATGAACATTATTCAGATTAATATTAACATCATCACAATTTTCATACATATGTATGTTATTCAACTCATCAAATAGATCATTATCAAATATGCCGTGAGCATTCCGCATATTATGGAGGACTGCGCAAGCATTGACTATTCTTCCAGCAAAGCCAAGTTCATACTGCAAGACTCTGTGTCGAGAAAGACATCTCCAAGTAGATTTAAGTATACCAAAAAGACGTTCGATACAATTTCTTGCGCTACATAACGCTTCGTTATACGCAAAACGTGGAGTTCCTTCCGGTTCTCGGGGCAAAGGAGTTAACAGCCACGGTTCTAACGGATAACCTGAATCACCTGCATATACAAATAATCTACATTTATTTCAGCTTTGTTTAAAATTTTTTAATACAATTCAGATTAGTTACAAGGAACTTAAGAATTTATGCACTGGAACAATATAAAATATAGGATGTATTATGTAAAGTCAACAATACATCGACAATAAAAGCTTTCTACAATTTCTAATGTAAAAAATTATAATAACAATTACCAATAAAATATGTTCGTCGTTCACCACGATTGTATGCGCGTTCCATAACTCGTCGTGCAGCAGAATCATTCCATATATATGCATCGTGCCTTGCTCCGGGATATCTTGCATTCACATTAAGTATTTTCAAATTTAGGTCACATATCTAACAATAAGAGATCGAGCATTGAATGTAATTAGTTATTAATATATAAAACACGTATGAATCAATTATTTAAATATTTACCATTTGCACATTCAGTGAATGATATCCGTGGTGATTAACATAAGCTTCTTCATGCTCTTTGGGAGCAAGAATCGCAATTTGAGTGCAATCAATCGCTCCAAGAGCTCCTTCAAACGGCTGACGTGCATTTTGAAATTGCATTCTCGCTAACTGCCTGGCTCCAGAACTAATGGGGAATTGTACCCATTGTCTAAATATTAAATCATTGATCGCATCTGTCACTTTGTGTATACATCTGCTGATCGATGTCTGGCTCATGGAAATGCCCCACTAGTCACCTACAGGACGTTGAAAACAACCTGTTGCGTAAAACCTTACTGCCGACAATATCTATAAAATATATAAGAATATATCGTGAGGAAATTTAAATAAGAAAATGAATATAATCATTGTAATAAAAGAAAAATATATAGTAACAATTTGTATTACTTGTTTCTCTACAGACAACTCTGTGATTTTTGTCCGTTGCAATCGAGGTTCTAATGCATCAATGAGATCAAACATTAAGTCCGGTGTTAAGCGGTATAGTTCTTTAAATTCGTCATTTGTCAAATCGAATGGGTCTTCTGTTGCTCGCAACAATTGTCGTTGTGTTTTACGTTGGACTCAATCTTCCATCATCATTAAATGTAAACCAAGATAGGCGAGAGCCATCCTAAAACGAAAAGTAAGAAAATTATTTTATCAGAGAAGCTAAAACAATTTAAATCAACTATGATATATATTTTTATTTTACATTGCTCATCTAAAGTTGAGGCTGTTTTCCTTTTATATTTATCAACTTTGAAATAATAGACTTTGCATATATCACTTAAATATTTATAATTAAACAAAAATAAAGTACTTTAAACTAATATATATATTTAAAACTACTGACATAGGAAAGTCGTTTTCCAAAATTAATATTGAAACAGTATTACTGTCTACATATACGTATTACAGACAAAAATTAAAGATTCAAGGAACAGAAGTACTTATATACATACTTACTTTCGATTCATATTACCGTATTTGCTATTATTTGCTATATTTATTTATTCAATTAACTTTTTACAGCACTGTATCACACGTACACACATGCACACATTGTATACGTTTCACATTAACGTATTACCGACTCACATAAACTATCGTTAACGGCTTAGCAAGACCTCCGATATCGATCGCAACCTCATCAACACGGCTTCGATACTTTTCGGAATTTAACAATTCAAATTATCGAGAGTTGTCGATAACTACTACCCACATAGCACGTAATATTACAGTAATATCACAGTAATATTGCAATATCACAGTAATATTACATATTATAATGTAATATTGTAATAATATTACTGACATATTACATGCATATATGACATTGAAATATTGCAGTAATATGGCTCATATATTATATATTTATGTATAATATTGACAGCTAACAGATGTTAGAAACATTATTAAGACATAATGTTATGTCACTATGTGGAAGTGTGTGTGTGTGTGTGTGTGTGTGTGTGT